AGCCTTTAGAATAGGAGGATTATTTGACCAACTTGAAGCCAGTTTTTTAACTGTAGGCATTCACGTTATTTTGAGACTGTTGATTAAAAAAAAAGGTAAGAAAATTTTAGAAGCCATTTTGTCATTGTACAGAATATCTTTGATTGTTCAAAGATTTGTTGACAAAAGGATTCTGGCTTTAAGAAAGAAAAAAAAAAACAGAAGGAGTTAGCTGAACTATGATCAGTGTCGCCTGTCTGTTTGTCCAATTTTACTGCGCTGGGAAAGCTGTTTAGTAATTTTGTTACTGCTGTTGTTGACATAATTTGTTTCCATGTTAAAAAATTTCTCTTTTTTTTTGCTCTTCTTATTTCCTCGTTTAGCTTTTAAGCATTAAGTCTTGAAACATAATTCTTCTGACTTTTTTTTTTTCTGTTGTTTATTTACTTGCTTGAAATATAAGTGTAGCAAAAAAGCTGAGAAAAATTGAGTTCTTTTTTCTGTTTTTTTTTTTTTTTTTCTATAGACTTTTCCACCCACTTCTACACTGTTTCCAGCTACTTCCGTCTTTACCTTCGTCGCTTCTCAGTCATTCCATCAATAGCACTTAAACAACAACAAAAAATTCTTTTTTTTTTTTTTTCTTTTAGGTTATTTTTGGCAAGAACTGAAATGAAATAACTAAAGGGGAAAGATAAAAAAAAAAAACCGAAAAACCTAAGCTGTATTGTAAAGTTTAATTGATTGAACAGAGAAAAGAAATGAAAAAGCCTCTGATGAACGGAAAACTATGATATATTTTTAAATATACTAACATTCACAAAGTATAGTTTCGTGTGTGTCTGTGTCTTTCTGTGTTTGTATTTTTATGATTCTATGTGTACATTACTGTTTTTTTTTTCTTTTTTCGTCGTCATACTGTTCCACGAAGAAGAAAACAAACTGCAACCTATTAATAGCCAAAGTTTAGCTTTTTTTTTTTGTTCTTGTTGTTGATGTTGCTGCTGTTGCTGTTGTATAATGCTTCTCGATCATTGTTCAAAATATTTTAAAATTTCTTCTCTCATTTTATTTATTTTGCTCTTCTTTCACTTTAGTTGTTTTTTTTATCCTCTTTGTCAAGTCTTTATTCTGCTGTTGATTAATAGCTGACTAATGACAGATAGAAAATCACACGCGCATATATATATATATATATATATATATATATATATATATACGCACACAAAGAAGCACATAAATATACGCACAGAAAAAAAAAAACTAAGAGAATGAAAAATTAGAAGAATAAAACAGGGAAGAATTGAATGGAAACAAGTAGAAGGTAAAAAGTACTGAAGAGAGCGAGAATTGTTGGGGTAACAGCAACAACAGTAGTTTGTTATCGCTGTTGCTGCTGCTGATGATGAAGATGACGATGATGATGTTGTGGTTGTTGTTTTTGTTGTTGTTGTTGTTGTTGTCCACAATTAGGAAAACAGTTGATTTATTTGTTGCTTCTGAAGTTTGTGCTCTACCGGTGTTTGTTGCTCAATTTCTTTTTTTGCTGTTTCATCAATTAACATTACCAATTTACACTATCGTTTTACCTTGTATTGA